ATACTTTTCATAAATTGACATGTAAGTACTCATAATTATCGATGTAAAAAATATTATATCATCACAACAAATAAAGCATGGAGTAAAAATACCAGATAAATTTGTAGTGGGTATTAACGGATTTCCTGTTGGATGAAGCTTTCTATAAAATATCACATGCACGCTAGGAGTATAACAAGATGCAGTATTTTCATAAAGGACATTAAATTCTTCGCATTGCGATTCATTCGCATCGTTAGTCGCCTTTCTATAAAAGGATAAATTACTTTGTAACTCGTTAATAATGATGATAAAACATTAGCTTGAAATACCTCGGATAATTAAGTACTCCAATAAATTCAACAACATCTGTAACTTTAAATGAATCCTCTTTCTCATAAATCTATGATAGTCACAAATAAAATTAAGTCTTATTGCATTGATAAATTGTTTCCGTTTTATTTTAAGTCTCGTTTAATTAGTTGCGATATAATTATATTTTGTCTTCACCTTAACCACAGCCGCCATATGTTTTTCTTTCGGAAAAGGGTATTTTGATGTGAATTCATTATTAACCTTTTCATCATTCAAATTAATATTCGCAGTTGAACTTACGATATCTGTAAACAATATATATATATATAAATATCTATGTATAAATTTATTATACAGGAACTATTCAAATTATTTGGATGTAAACCTTCAATATCTGTTACAGATTTTAATCGAGACTGCCTATAAATGTATTATTACTAAGGTCAAAGAAAATTTAATTCAATTATATAAACGATTATATAATTTTAAATGCTTTAAGGATATTTGCTTTGCCCATGACGTCTCTCCGGGAACAGAGGTGCAATAAAATAATTGCCTCTCGCTAAATTCATTAGTAGGAGAATTTAGACTTTCTAATACATCATTTAAATTCTCATCCTGTAAAAATTATTAATTTAATGTTTATTTTTTTTCCTTTGTAGTTCCAAACAGGTATTATTATATGATCATGCTACCTTAAGGATAATTTCATCTGAATATTTATGAAATTTCCTTTGCTAATTGTAAAAAATTATGAAGAAACTAATTAATAAATTATAATCTGTTTAGAATGAAACGCATAATACCTTTATTCAAATATATAAAGATCAACCTTTATGCCATCATTATTGACCATTTCATAAGAACTAACAAAAACTTCGTGACCAAATCCAGTATTTTGAATCATGGCACGAAAGCGTACAAGTGTATATTGCGGAATATCATACACACAAGAAACATCATTCAATGAAGGTATCTTTATTGAAATATTAATTATTTATTATACAATAATTAAGCAAATAATTTTAGTAACCAGTATGTTTTTGTTCAAACCTGATTGACTTTTCCTCCAAGTTCGAAAATAGTTTTAAAATATTCTGGAATAGTTGCCTGACCTAAAGCCAACTGATCACTTGAATTTGACTCAAGTTCTTATGTAATATAACAAATTAAATATTAGTTTATTTTAGAATCATGATTTTTTTGATACTTTTTCCGAACAAAATCAACTTTAATACCAAGTAAATATCTAACGACATCAAGAGGTTTTTCGATGCATTCAGAACTTGAAAATATAGGAATCATTTTTGGTTTTAATTAAACTCAAGCAAAGCTTGAAACAATCATTTTTATACGCGAATATAATTCATCTTACTCGTGTATGATTACTAATTTTGGCAATCACTTTGGATCTTATATTAACAAAAATTTACACGCAGAACACATTTTTGGTCTAAATGGTAAATTTTACTAATGCTACTAATTAAAGAAAAATGTTTTAGGCAATTCCTTTAATGAAAATGATATGAAAGTAATTTTTTCAAGAAAATTACTTCTAAAGTAATTTTTTAATAATAAAAAAAAAATTTTAATACTATTAGAAATGAAAAAAGAATAATATAATCAGTATTAAATGATAAATCAAATATTATTATTTTACATTTATTGAAAAAAATTATTTATTGATATATTATTAAAAATAATAAATATAATTAAAATATAATTAAAATTAATAAATAAAATATATCATTTATTAATTTTATTAATTTGAGAATATAAAGAATTTATAAAATATTTTAATAATACTGTATTATAAGTTATATTTTTTGATATTGATTTTATTTTATAATATATATATAATAAATATATTTTCTTATGTTAAAATCAAAAAATGTATCTAAAACTTAATACTGCAATATAGTGTTTTTTAAAAGTAATATATTACCTATTTTAGTTATAATTTAAAATTAGAAATATGATTTTATATTTATTTATTAATTATATTTTAAAAATACTCTATAAAATATTTGCATTAAGATTTATTTTATAAATTTTTAAGTATAAAAAACTTTTAAGCAATAAAATTTAACTTAAAATTAATTAATAAAAAATTAACAAAAATAATAATAAAATTAAAAAACAATTTTTAAGAAATTAAAAATTTATAAAAATTTCTAAATTTTGAATAATTTGATTTTTCTAATTTTTTTTGATTTATAATATTTAACTATTTTTTTTATTTTATTTTATATATTTAATAATTATCATAATTATTAATTTTATGGTTTATTTTATAGAATTTTGCTAATTTACAATCCAGATAAAATCACCTATATAATATAATAGGTGACAAATAAAATTTTTAATAATAAGAATTTTCTAAGTTTTTAATTAATTATTAAATATGAAAAATAGAGAAGTATGATACATTGTAATGAATAAATTATAACCTTAAAACTAATTCTAACTAACCTTAATTCTACAAATAGGTAAAATTTTACATATAATCATTCAGATATAAATTAATTATATTTTATTTTTATTAATTAAATATAAATAATTAATTATTATTCCTTAAAATGTATATATAAATTAATTATAAAACATTGTAGAAAAATTATAATATTTTAATATCTAATAATTATAAAAGATAAAATAAGTTTATTAGATTTGTCATATTAAGATATATCTAATGATAGTATTTTTTAAATTTTTAAAATTAATAATTATTAATATAGGCTCTTTGCAATAGAAAGGGAGAAAACTACCAAAAAATTTTTTTTTACTTTATAAGCTAAATATTATTTTTTTTAATAAATAAGTTTAGATTTAACATTAACTCAAAAAAAATTTTTTTGGTAGTTTCCTCCTTTTTTATTACAAAGAACCTATATATATTAATTTTCCAATTTTTTAAAATATTTATTATTTAATATTACAAGAAAATATAAAATATAACTCTTTCTAACGATCACTTAATTAAGAATTTTATATATAAATATGTATATTTAAATACAACTACAGCTTAACCTGCAAATAAAAAATAAAACTCACTTTTTAAATTTTTTTCTTTCTTTGTTTTTTCCAAATCTTCTTATTTCAAAAATAGTTTTTGTTAGTCTAAACGGTAGTGTTTTTTTATTAAAATATTTTTTTTATCACTTCTCATAACTGTTTTTTCACTTTTTCTTTTTTTTTTTTTACTCACAAAAGTGAGTATTAGAAAGTATCCTAAATTATGATCAGAATCAATAATAACTTTAGATTAACTAATTACATATAATAATTTTTTCATTACTATTCTAAATAAGTATATTCTTTTTAGATCTCTGATATCATAGAATCTGCTGATCTTAGCAGGATTTTTTAATTCTTCCAATTGTGTGATTTGAGCTTTATATAATGACTAAATGGTAGCTGTAATTTGAATTAACAGACATATTAACACAAAAGTTTGAGAGTACTAAAGAGCTTTTGATAGAACTTAGTAATATAGATGCTCTTGTGATAAGAGGTCACTGTAATCAAAAATTAACCAAGCAATTTAGCTAAGAACTTATTGAAATTGAAAATTTTTATTAGCTTCTTTTTTGTTTAACAATAGTTCAAATTACTTGTTTTTGTATTTTTTGTATTGAATTTAAATTTAAAATAGAAATTATTATTAGGTAAAAGAGAGGAGTATATATAGATTACTTTGAAAGTTCTGGAATAAAATTTCCAAATAGGTATACAAAAGTGTGTGATCTTTCCAGCTACTTTTTTGATATACAATTTTTTGAAATCTTTATTGAACTTTAAATTACTCTATAAGACTAGAAAATATATCAAAATCTAATATTGAATTTAAGCTTAAAATCAAGCTAGATTTAAATTCTGTTAACCTACCTTCTTATCTAAATTTTAAGTTTTCAAGATCAAGATATATACTATCTTTGTTAACAAGCTGGCTTCTTTTTAATCCTAAATAATATAATGAAAAAAGTATGCTATACTGCTTACCTTAAAAAGAATTACAAGCATCAAGGACTGAAGTGTTTGAGTATGCTTAGGGTTTAATCAAGTAAACTTAATTAATATACCATTTTTATGTTATCCTAGAATTAATTCTAAAAGTAATTCATTACTATAAACAAATCTCCAATAAGTCTCATCTCAAAGAGATGAGATTTAGTAAAGTCAGATATCAAATTCTTGATTTAAGAATTATTAAGTCAATTCTAGCATATCATTATTTTTTTGATATACAATAAACCATTTTAAAAGTATTTCCTTTATATAAATATAAGGACAATAAATATCACCTCTAGAGTGAACATAATTAAGTCTCACCTCTAAGTCTTACCTCAGAAGTATACTAATCAAACATTTGGGTCTTATCCATTTTTCTCATAATTCGAAAAAAAAAATAATTAAACAATAAAGATCATATGATTAAATATTTTAAATTAAACAAAAGTTTACATAATATATAATAGGTAAGACTTATTGATAACATGTCTAGATCAGATAAAAAAATACTACATGCATTTGTTGTAAATATAAATTTATAAGACCAGCTAAACTTCATCAGCATTATCAAAGTAATAAAAATCAATATAGTTTAACTTCTAGTCAAAAGAAAGGAAAATACTAACTATACAGATCAAAGATTAAGTGGTCATACCCAGACCTTGATCACTAAGCCTAGCTCTAGTCCTTCATATACAAAAAAGGAATCAAAGGAAAGAAGTATCACAAAAAGTCAGATTTCAATCACTGACTTTCACACTATAGGTCATAGATCAAAAGAGTGATCAAGGAGGTGAATATATTGATAGACATATAAGAAAGTCTAGAAAATATTGGAGAAGATGGGATATAAGATTACACTGAAGATAGATTGAGGTAACTGATAAAGAATGTAATTTATCACTAATCTTAAAAAATTGTCAACTTCTATATCATGATCTATTATAGGCAGATGATGAAGCTTTTAAATTACAGTTCACAATGCAAAATAAAAATTAAGAGGGTGATCCTAAAGCTGGATCAAGCCTAGCAACTCAATCTTATAGAGAGGGATTAATTGGTGAGAAAGAACCTAGTAAGGTTAAGCAATAAGATGTGATCTTAAAGAGATACGCTTAGGAAAATATCTACTTTGAAAAAAGTCCAGTTGGAAAAAATCTAAAAAGACTACATAAAAATTGGTCTTTAATAAGCAAATGAGTGGGTAAAATTTCCCAATCTGAAGACAATCCTATATATGCTTTTATCAATCCAATAGCTAATCTAGTAGAATATAAAAAAATTCCATACATGTCACAACTTATAGGGCTAGCATGACAGAAAATTACAGAAGTTCTTCAAATAGAATTACGCAGAAATAATCAAATAAAATCAGCTATAATATCATTATGTAGATATTCAATTACAAGAAAAGGAAATAATGATTTAACAAAAACATCAATCATAAATAAGTGCTATAGAGAAATGCGTCCAATTCTTTCTGAAGAAGATATAGATAAGTATATAACTAAATCTGCTAAAAAAATAGATAATCATATTGAGAACATATTAATAAGTGGATCTGGATGTATTCTCAAACGAATTCTTGAAATATTTATTGAAGCATATCCATACAGTCAAGCCACAGGAGGATCCTTTAAACCTATTCCTAAGAAGTTATCTAATACAAAGTCCACTATCAATCCAGATAATCAAGGTCTTATTGATCTGAAAACAAATAAACTCTCAGAAAAATATCTACAAGGAGTACTAAATGTATATTTCACATATCAGGATAGACATACAGAGTATCTTGAATGAATCTTCTGAATAAAGAAACTCAAGCCATACTTAGATTTCGTCAAGCTAAATAGAATCCTAATGCTTATTCTAATTTGTCTACGTATCTTTAATAAGATTGAGAAGATGAATTCAGATATCTCTATTAATGTTTAGAAGTGAAAAGAAGAAACAGCCACTCCAAAGTCTGTAATCACCAGTAAGAATTTCTATATTTCAAATTCATGCAAAATAGAAAATTATAAGCATAATAATCTAAACAAATATTATGAAGAAAGATCACATGTAATTCATCTTATGGTTCTTACAGATATAACCTAATCTGAAGAAAGTAAATATAAACAAAAGAATCATTTTTTTTAAATCAAGAAGCTAAATGCTTTAATATATAAAGATACCATGTATCATAATGAAAAGCATCTTTGTAATAAATGTATTCAAAGTTTCTCCTCAAAAAAATCTCTAATCTATCATCAGAAATGATGTTTCAGATTAGAAGAAGCACCTCAGAAAGT